ACCGTTTTCAGGGAAGGTCAGGGATCGCGACAGAGTTCCAGAAACAAGCATGACGTTCAAGCGTTTCAAGGACTCTGAGTTCTCGGGCGACCTCTACGAGATGTCAACATTCATGCAACCTCCTGCAGGCGGTTGGCTGTCCACTGCCGATTGCTTCGGCCGCGCGCTTCGTGTAGTTCTGGCATTCTATTTGTTCAAGAGGCCAACGGCATTCCGCAGACCCCCAGAAGAGGCGGGGAGTCCACGGCTGAGGCGTCTTGGGCTCTATTTGGGGACTTTTCGTGGGCGTCTTGGGAGCTGTTTAGGGGTCTGGTGGAGCCTCTTGGAGGCAGTCTTGAAGCGTCTTGGGGGCAGTTTTGATGCTCCTTTGGGGCCCTTGTGGGGGCCTCTTGGGGCTTCTTGGGGGCGGCTGGGGGGCTTCTTGGGGCCTTGGGGGGGGTCTCTTCGGGCGGAGGATCGGTTTCTCGGTTCGTCTTCTCCCTCTTGGCCTCTCTTGGGGCCTCTCTTGGAGCGATCTGTGGACGTGTTGGGCCCCTCTCTGGGCCATCTTGGATCCCTCTTGGGCCGTCCTGGGGCCCTCGTGAGAGCCTCCTGGGCAGGTTTGGGGCGGTCCACGACGCCTCTTGGGCTGTCTCGGGGCGTCAGAAGCTCGAGAAGACGATATGACCCCTCAAAACAATGAAGACCTTCAGGACATCAGTGATTTGTGCCGCTTGGGGCCCTCTTGTGAAGGCTCTTGGGGCTCTCTTGGGGTGTGTCTCGAGGGCGTGCTTGGGGCGTCTTGGAGCCATCTTGGGCCAATCGTTCGGCGATTCGGGATCGTCGTGGATCGGTTTTTGGGCCACGGACGGCAGAGCTGGAAGTTCCTGGACGTTCCAGAGTCTCCTCGGTTGCGCCAGGGAGCCCCGGATACCCCCTCCCTCCTTTCAACGAGATGTTGGACCCTGGGGGAGGGGGACATGGGGAAGGGGCACGGCCAATCATCTCACACGCCTTTGCTCCCCCAGCAAGCGGGGGTCGGCGGATTGCTAGCCTCGCAGCCGCTTGACTTGTACAGCTTTCTTGTGAAGTACCATCAGGTGTTTCACTGGGGAGGCTGGATTGGATGGAGTCACTTGATCATGCTCGTCTCCTTGATAATGTGGCCAGGACTGTTGATCCTGCTCGTGTGCCACGACAAGCTGAAGACAGCATTGAAGCCACCTTCGGAGGTCAACTGCTTTTTCGTGGAGCCTGAGAATTTCTTCGCGCGGTGCTTCTGGGCCTTTCAAATGGTGGGCTCAGTGCCTCTGGCCATTTTCATGACCCACGGCAACAGCACTGCCGCGATCGAAAATGCCTGGCACGACTACGTTCTGACCAAGCAGTTCTGGAGGAGGCATATGGAGAAGACCAACATGCCGTTCCCCCAGCAGCTTGGCCAATGGGATGGGAGCAGTTGCGATTGGTGGTCACACGCCAAAGGGAAGTCTGGTGACTTCATCGTTGGGGATGTCGTGTTGAAGCTTATGGACGGGTGCCTGGGCAGAGGGGACACTTTCCTGGAAGTTGGTAGGGATGGTTTTGATGGCACTGTGGCAGCAGTCTCAAGGGTGCTGAACGAGAAATATGCATCAATCGTAGGAGTGCTTGTTCTGGAATGGGTGCGCCCAAAGTCTGGACACGAGGTGCACTCATTCGACATCGTCACCATGGTCATGCCGGACGACAGCATCCAGCTCGTGTCCTGCCTGTACTGGGGCAACTGCAGGGACGGAGGATCCAGCACGCACGATGCCATGGCCGGCTTCGTAGTCGACGTCGACAAGGAGAAGGTGCACTCAACGGCATCGTGGTACTCCGCCCTATTTGCCAAGAGCATGGGGGCGGGGCAGAGCGGTCAGGCCGGCCAGGGAAAGGGGCACGGCGAGGTCGGCATCGGCAGCCATTTCCCGGGCATCAGGGAGCTGTGCGAGCAGGCCATCAAGGGTCACGAGTCTGCGTTGCAGGAGGCACCATGGTTGCACGCGGTGGGCTGGGATGCGATGTTCAGCAGCTCAGGGCCCGTCTTCTTCGAGGGCAATTATGCCTCGCATAGGATCCCCCGTCGCGTCTTCCTGACGTGGAGGAGTACCATGTGGTTCTTGAGCCACAGCAAGCGCTTCAGCTTGCTCCAATCACGTCGCAGGAAGCACATCACCGTGTAGATGGCTTGGGGTGAATGTCGTCGAGGCGAACAACTCCGGTCGTAACGACTGAAGGTTGACGCCATCAATTGGAGCGTTGAATTTGCAGAGGTGCATAGCGTGTGAATGTACGTGATTGGGCTTTGTGCAGCCTGTCCAAGCACATTTGCCTTCGCACCGCGCTGACACCTTCACATTTTTCTAAGTCGCGACAAGTGCGACGTCGCCGCCCAGGACGATGGGGTCGAGCGAGCGCTGTGGATTCCACTGCCCGTCAGTCGGGGAGCATGTATTTATCAAGGGGCATCGTTTCGCTGCAGATCGTGACGAAGCATGCTGCCAGCGAGGAAAAGGGGGCTCCATGGCGTGCCTTGAGATCATCGTAGGAAGTTTAGGTTCCAACCAGAGTCCCCCAGGCCTCGGGAAGAGTCTCCACGGGCATACCCTGCTTCAGCGCTCGGCAGCGTTCGGGACTCGGGGGTCTGGGCCCCCCTGAAGAGCGTTTCCAGTCAAGGGGCCTGAGGGCACTCCGCTCAGTGCCTCGCGGCATGGAAGCGGACGTGTGCCACATTTGCCGTTGGGATGTTTCTTCTTTCCTTTGCGTCGGTTTTCCTTCGTCGGCCACCGCACCATCCCGTGGGTTGCGGGCGGCCCGCTTCATCCAAGTATCTGCGTATACTACGGGTAACATGATGTGCCACAATGTGCGTTGGACGAGCGGCGCTCACCAGGAGTTTGGGATGTGTTCTGGCCCAGGGCCGAGCTCGAGGGACCCTCTGTTACTGTCGCAGTCGTTGTATTGCTTCATGAATATGAGCAGTCGTTGCTAGGCTATGGTGTTACAAGTGTTGCCGCCAAGTACCCGTTCATGGTGTTCTATTACGCTGAGCGTTGAACATCACACGGCGTACCCAACTAGTTCATGCTTCTTTTTTCTCAACGCAGTCACACATTCCTACGGTATGATGAATTGAAGGTCGATCCCCTGGACGAGCGATTTCCGTTATGCAATACAGAAACACACGATCCTTTTTGCGCAAACAAGGCAATCATGCATGTAGTGGCTGATCATTTTGGTAAAACGTTGCAGATCCAGCTGCGCGAGATTGCGGGTCAGCAATTTTGGTAACAATCGTAGGCGCGCGTACACTTTGACATGATTTCCTCGTTCTCCGCTGTACTGCAGCCCAGCAAGCAGTCGAGAGTCATGAACCATAAAGTGCATTCTCGAAGACGCCTGCGGCGAATCACCGCCACCCCCTGCCTTGTGTCAACGCCCACGCGGCCAAACGTCGGGCCGACGTCTGGCCAAGCTAGTGAACTATGTAGTCCCCCAGCCGTTGTGGAGCCCCTCGGGGGAACTTTTGGGAGAGGAAAAGGGAGGAGAAGAAGTAGAAGGAGGACGAGTAGGAGTAGGAGCAGGAGGAACAAGGCGAGACCTTTTGAGTCCCTCGTGGGGCCTCCTGGGGGCTTCCTGGGAGCACCCTGGGGGCCCCTTGGGGGCTTCTGGGGGCCTCTAAGGAACCTCTTGGCCTTCAGATGCCGTTTTGGAGCCATCTCTGGACAGTCCTGGGTCCCTCTTCGGGCGCTCGAGGGCCGTCTTGGAAGTCTATGGGGCCGTCTTGGGGGCCTCTTGGGCCGACTTGTGACCCGCTTTGGATGTCTTGCGGGCCTCTTGGAGCCTCTTGGGCCGTCTTGGTGCGACCTTGGGGGCCCATGGGCTATGGGGCCTTGGAGCGTCGGAAGCTCGAATAGGCGAGAACGTTAGAATCATTGAAGCACCATACCGACATTAATGAGGTTGTCCTCCTGGAGCTTCTCTTGAAACCTGGATGGGGGCGCTCCATGCAGGGATATTGCAAAGAGAGGCTCGGCTAAGCCACTCTGCTCTCCCCAACGCGTGCCACAGGTCCTCCCGCATCTTGCACCCTTGGGTGCACGTTCCCGCGTTTTGCGTGTGTGTGTGTGTGTGTGTGTGTGTGTGTGTGTGTGTGTGTGTGTGTGTGTGTGTGTGTGTGTGTACAGCCAGTTCGTGTCCAGCCCTGGCCGCCTGTGCTTCAACGACTCCAGACCCCATTTCAAAGCATTGCCATCAGTCGGCTCCCAGCTCTGGTGAACGCAGAATCCCACATTCCAAAAGAGGTGCGCAGAAATCCTGTTCCACCAGCTTTCTCGCTCACAATCCTCGCGGGCGGCCAGGAGGGGGTGATGACGAGGGGGTGGTGTGGTGGATATCGTGGCCAGGGCCATGGTACCTCGCCAGATTTCATGGCGCCTCTTCTTGGTTTACTACGTGCCCTGGCCCCCTATGGGCCGCGCATATGCCTCGGGTCATGTTTTGCGACGCCCCTTCTTGGACGCCCCCGACATCCGCACACATTGATGACTGCGTCGGGCAGTTCTTGTGGCCTTCGGCCTCTTGGGGGCTGGGAGCCTCTTGGGGGCCGGCTGGCCGTCTTGGGGGCCACCTCGGGGGGAAACGCTACAAGTATAAGCTAGTGTTTCCCCTGGTGGGCCCCTTTTGAGGCTGTCTTGTTGGCCTCTTGGGCGCTGTTGGGAGCTTCGGGAGCCGCCCTGGAGCCACATAGGCGGTATCTTGGGCCGTACCAGGCGCTGTTCAGACGGAAGAGTCGAGTGCGCGAACGGAAAGCAACACAAACATGTGTTGCAATGATTAGTGCCTCTTGGGCCTGTTCCGAGGGCCTCCAAGTCGCCCTTGGAGGCCCTTGAAGAGGGCAGCCCAATGGCGGGTCCGTAGCCATTTTGGCTGAAGCCATTTTGGCTGAACCATTTTCAGGGAAGGTCAGGGATCGCGACAGAGTTCCAGAAACAAGCATGGCGTTCAAGCGTTTCAAGGACTCTGAGTTCTCGGGCGACCTCTACGAGATGTCAACATTCATGCAACCTCCTGCAGGCGGTTGGCTGTCCACTGCCGATTGCTTCGGCCGCGCGCTTCGTGTAGTTCTGGCATTCTATGTGTTCAAGAGGCCAACGGCATTCCGCAGACCCCCAGAAGAGGCGGGGAGTCCACGGTTGAGGCGTATTGGGCACTATTTGGGGACTTTTCGTGGGCGTCTTGGGAGCTGTTTAGGGGGCTGGTGGAGCCTCTTGGAGGCAGTTTTGAAGCGTCTTGGGGGCAGTTTTGATGCTCCTTTGGGGCCCTTGTGGGGGCCTCTTGGGGCTTCTTGGGAGCGGCTGGGGGGCTTCTTGGGGCCTTGGGGGGGGGTCTCTTCGGGCGGAGGATCGGTTTCTCGGTTCGTCTTCTCCCTCTTGGCCTCTCTTGGGGATCTGTGGACGTGTTGGGCCCCTCTCTGGGCCATCTTGGATCCCTCTTGGGCCGTCCTGGGGCCCTCGTGAGAGCCTCCTGGGCAGGTTTGGGGCGGTCCACGACGCCTCTTGGGCTGTCTCGGGGCGTCAGAAGCTCGAGAAGACGATATGACCCCTCAAAACAATGAAGACCTTCAGGACATCAGTGATTTGTGCCGCTTGGGGCCCTCTTGAGAAGGCTCTTGGGGCTCTCTTGGGGTGTCTCGAGGGCGTGCTGGGGCGTCTTGGAGCCATCTTGGGCCAATCGTTCGGCGATTCGGGATCGTCGTGGATCGGTTTTTGGGCCACGGACGGCAGAGCTGGAAGTTCCTGGACGTTCCAGAGTCTTCAGGGGTGCGCCAGGGAGCCCCGGATACCCCCTCCCTCCTTTCAACGAGATGTTGGACCCTGGGGGAGGGGGACATGGGGAAGGGGCACGGCCAATCATCTCACACGCCTTTGCTCCCCCAGCAAGCGGAGGTCGGCGGATTGCTAGCCTCGCAGCCGCTTGAATTGTACAGCTTCCTTGTGAAGTACCATCAGGTGTTTCACTGGGGAGGCTGGATTGGATGGAGTCACTTGATCATGCTCGTCTCCTTGATAATGTGGCCAGGACTGTTGATCCTGCTCGTGTGCCACGACAAGCTGAAGACAGCATTGAAGCCACCTTCGGAGGTCAACTGCTTTTTCGTGGAGCCTGAGAATTTCTTCGCGCGGTGCTTCTGGGCCTTTCAAATGGTGGGCTCAGTGCCTCTGGCCATTTTCATGACCCACGGCAACAGCACTGCCGCGATCGAAAATGCCTGGCACGACTACGTTCTGACCAAGCAGTTCTGGAGGAGGCATATGGAGAAGACCAACATGCCGTTCCCCCAGCAGCTTGGCCAATGGGATGGGAGCAGTTGCGATTGGTGGTCACACGCCAAAGGGAAGTCCGGTGACTTCATCGTTGGGGATGTCGTGTTGAAGCTTATGGACGGGTGCCTGGGCAGAGGGGACACTTTCCTGGAAGTTGGTAGGGATGGTTTTGATGGCACTGTGGCAGCAGTCTCAAGGGTGCTGAACGAGAAATATGCATCAATCGTAGGAGTGCTTGTTCTGGAATGGGTCCGCCCAAAGTCTGGACACGAGGTGCACTCATTCGATATCGTCACCATGGTCATGCCGGACGACAGCATCCAGCTCGTGTCCTGCCTGTACTGGGGCAACTGCAGGGACGGAGGATCCAGCACGCACGATGCCATGGCCGGCTTCGTAGTCGACGTCGACAAGGAGAAGGTGCACTCAACGGCATCGTGGTACTCCGCCCTATTTGCCAAGAGCATGGGGGCGGGGCAGAACGGTCAGGCCGGCCAGGGAAAGGGGCACGGCGAGGTCGGCATCGGCAGCCATTTCCCGGGCATCAGGGAGCTGTGCGAGCAGGCCATCAAGGGTCACGAGTCTGCGTTGCAGGAGGCACCATGGTTGCACGCGGTGGGCTGGGATGCGATGTTCAGCAGCTCAGGGCCCGTCTTCTTCGAGGGCAATTATGCCTCGCATAGGATCCCCCGTCGCGTCTTCCTGACGTGGAGGAGTACCATGTGGTTCTTGAGCCACAGCAAGCGCTTCAGCTTGCTCCAATCACGTCGCAGGAAGCACATCACCGTGTAGATGGCTTGGGGAAAATGTCGTCGAGGCGAAAAACTCCGGTAATAACGACTGAAGGTTGACGCCATCAATTGGAGCGTTGACTTTGCAGAGGTGCATAGCGTGTGAGTGTACGTGATTGGGCTTTGTGTAGCCTGTCCAAGCACAGTTGCCGTCGCACCGCGCTGACGCCTTCACATTTTTCTAAGTCGCGACAAGTGCGACGTCGCCGCCCAGGACGATGGGGTCGAGCGAGCGCTGTGGATTCCGCTGCCCGTCAGTCGGGGAACATGTATTTATCAAGGGGCGTCGTTTCGCTGCAGATCGTGACGAAGCATGCTGCCAGCGAGGAAAAGGGGGCTCCATGGCGTGCCTTGAGACCATCGTAAGCAATGTTGGAAGTTTGGGTTCCAACCAGAGTCCCCCAGGCCTCGGGAAGAGTCTCCGCGGGCATACCCTGCTTCAGCGCTCGGCAGCGTTCGGGACTCGGGGGTCTGGGCCCCCCTGAAGAGCGTTTCCAGTCAAGGAGCCTAAGGGCACTCCGCTCAGTGCCTCGCGGCGTGGAAGCGGACGTGTGCCACATTTGCCGTTGGGATGTTGTTTTTTGTTGCGTCGGTTTTCCTTCGTCGGCCACCGCACCATCCCGTGGGTTGCGGGCGGCCCGCTTCATCCAAGTAACTACGTATACTACGGGTAACATGATGTGCCACAATGTGCGTTGGACGAGCGTCGCTCACCAGGAGTTTGGGATGTGTTCTGGCCCCGGGCCGAGCTCGAGGGACCCTCTGTTATTGTCGCAGTCGTTGTATTGCTTCATGAATATGAGCAGTCGTTGCTTGGCTATGGTGTTACAAGTGTTGCCGCCGAGTACCCGCTCATGGTGTTCTATTACGCTGAGCGTTGAACATCACACGGCGTACCAAACTATTTCATGCCTCTTTTTCTCAACGCAGTCACACATTCCTACGGTATGATGAATTGCAGGTCGATCCCCTGGACGAGCGATTTCCGTTATGCAATACAGAAACACACGATCGCCTCTGTGCAAACAAAGCAATCATGCATGGAGGGGCGGATCATTGTGGCAAAACGTTGCAGATGCTGCTGCGCGAGATTGCGTACACTTTGACATGATTTCTTCGTTCTCCTTTGTACTGCAGCCCAGCAATCAGTCGAGAGGCATGAACCATAAAGTGCATTCTCGAAGACGCCTGCGGCGAATCACCGCCACCCCCTGCCTTGTGTCAACGCCCACGCGGCCAAACGTCGGGCCGAAGTCTGGCCAAGCTAGTGAACTATGTAGTCCCCCAGCCGTTGTGGAGCCCCTCGGGGGAACTTTTGGGAGAGGAAAAGGGAGGAGAAGAAGTAGAAGGAGGACGAGTAGGAGTAGGAGCAGGAGGAACAAGGCGAGACCTTTTGAGTCCCTCGTGGGGCCTCCTGGGGGCTTCCTGGGAGCACCCTGGGGGCCCCTGGGGCGGTCCCTTGGGGGCTTCCGGAGGCTTCTAAGGAACCTCTTGGCCTTCAGAGGCCGTTTTGGAGCCATCTCTGGACAGTCGTGGGTCCCTCTTCGGGCGCTCGAGGGCCGTCTTGGAAGTCTATGGGGCCGTCTTGGGGGCTTCTTGGGCCGCCTTCTAGCCCGCTTTGACTATCTTGCGGGCCTCTTGGGTCGTCTTGGTGCGACCTTGGGGGCCCATGGGCTATGGGGCCTTCGAGCGTCGGAAGTTCGAATAGGCGAGAACGCTAAAATCATTGCAGCACCATGCCGTCATTAATGAGGTTATCCTCCTCGAGCTCCTCTTGAAGCCTGGATGGTGGCGCTCCATGCAGGGATGTTGCAAAGAGAGGCTCGGCTAAGCCACTCTGCTCTCCCCAACGCGTGCCACAGGTCCTCCCGCATCTTGCACCTTTGGGTGCACGTTCCCGCGTTTTTTGTATGCACGGCCAGTTCTTGTCCAGCCCTGGCCGCTTGTGCTTCAACGACTCCACACCCCATTCCAAAGCATTGCCATCAGTCGGCTCCTGGCTCTGGTGAACGCAGAATCCCACATTCCAAAAGTGGTGCGCAGACATGCTGTTCTACCAGCGTTCTCGCTCACAATCCTCGTGGGCGGCCAGGAGGGGGTGATGACGAGGGGGTGGTGGATATCGTGGCCAGGGCCATGGTACCTCGACAGATTTCATGGCGCCTCTTCTTATTTTACTACGTGCCCTGGCCCCCTATGGGCCGCGCATATGCCTCGGGCCATGTTGTTGTGAAGCCCCCTCTTGGACGCCCCCGACATCCACACACATTGATGAATGCGTCATGCAGTTCTTGTGGCCTTCGGCCTCTTGGGAGCTGGGAGCCTCTTGGGGGCCAGCTGGCCGTCTTGGGAGCCACCTCGGGGGAGAAAGATACAAATATAAGCTAGTGTTCCCCCTGGTGGGCCCCATTTGAGGCTGTCTTGTTGGCCTCTTGGGCCCTGTTGGGAGCTTCGAGAGCCGCCCTGGAGCCACATTGGCGGTATCTTGGGCCGTACCAGGCGCTGTTCAGACGGAAGAGTCGAGTGTGCGGAACGAAAAGCAACACAAACGTGTGTTGCAATGATTAGTGCCTCCTGGGCCGGTTCCGAGGGCCTCCAAGTCGCCCTTGGAGGCCCTTGAAGAGGGCGGCCCCATGACGGGTCCGTAGCCATTTTGGTTGAAGCCATTTTGGCTGAACCATTTTCAGGGAAGGTCAGGGATCGCGACAGAGTTCCAGAAACAAGCATGGCGTTTAAGCGTTTCAAGGACTCTGAGTTCTCGGGCGACCTCTACGAGATGTCAACGTTCATGCAACCTCCTGCAGGCGGTTGGCTGTCCACTGCCGATTGCTTCGGCCGCGCGCTTCGTGTAGTTCTGGCATTCTATGTGTTCAAGAGGCCAGCGGCATTCCGCCGACCCCCAGATGAGGCGGGGAGTCCACGGTTGAGGCGTCCTGGGCGTCTTGGGCACTATTTGGGGACTCTTTGTGGGCGTCTTGGGAGCTGTTCAGGGGTCTGGTGGAGCCTCTTGGAGGCAGTTTTGAAGCGTCTTGGGGGCAGTTCTGATGCCCCTTTGGGCCCTTGTGGGGGCCTCTTGGGGCTTCTTGGGGGCGGCTGGGGGGCTTCTTGGGGCCTTGGAGGGGGTCTCTTCGGGCGGAGGATTGGTTTCTCGGTTCGTCTTCTCCTTCTTGGCCTCGCTTGGGGCCTCTCTTGGAGCGATCTGTGGACGTGTTGGGCCCCTCTCTGGGCCATCTTGGATTCCTCTTGGGCCGTCCTGGGGCCCTCGTGAGAGCCCCCTGGGCAGGTTTGGGGCGGTCCACGGGGCCTCTTGGGCTGCCTTGGAGCGTCGGAAGCTCGAGAAGACGATATGACCCCTCAAAGCAATGAAGAACCTGCAGGACATCAGTGCTCTGTGCCCCTTGGGGCCCTCTTGGCAAGGCTCTTGGGGCTCTCTTGGGGTGTCTCGAAGGCGTGCTGGGGCGTCTCGGAGCCATCTTGGGCCAATCGTTCGGCGATTCGGGATCGTCGTGGATCGGTTCTGAGGCCACGGACGGCAGAGCTGGAAGTTCCTGGACGTTCCAGAGTCTCCTCGGTTGCGCCAGGGAGCCCCAGATACCCCCTCCCTCCTTTCAACGAGATGTTGGACCCTGGGGGAGGGGGACATGGGGAAAGGGCACGGCCAATCATCTCACACGCCTTTGCTCCCCCAGCAAGCGGGGGTCGGCGGATTGCTAGCCTCGCAGCCGCTTGAATTGTACAGCTTCCTTGTGAAGTACCATCAGGTCTTTCACTGGGGAGGCTGGATTGGATGGAGTCACTTGATCATGCTCGTCTCCTTGATAATGTGGCCAGGACTGTTGATCCTGCTTGTGTGCCACGACAAGCTGAAGACAGCATTGAAGCCGCCTTCGGAGGTCAACTGCTTTTTCGTGGAGCCTGAGAATTTCTTCGCGCGGTGCTTCTGGGCCTTTCAAATGGTGGGCTCAGTGCCTCTGGCCATTTTCATGACCCACGGCAACAGCACTGCCGCGATCGAAAATGCCTGGCACGACTACGTTCTGACCAAGCAGTTCTGGAGGAGGCATATGGAGAAGACCAACATGCCGTTCCCCCAGCAGCTTGGCCAATGGGATGGGAGCAGTTGCGATTGGTGGTCACACGCCCAAGGGAAGTCCGGTGACTTCATCGTTGGGGATGTCGTGTTGAAGCTTATGGACGGGTGCCTGGGCAGAGGGGACACTTTCCTGGAAGTTGGTAGGGATGGTTTTGATGGCACTGTGGCAGCAGTCTCAAGGGTGCTGAACGAGAAATATGCATCAATCGTAGGAGTGCTTGTTCTGGAATGGGTGCGCCCAAAGTCTGGACACGAGGTGCACTCATTCGACATCGTCACCATGGTCATGCCGGACGACAGCATCCAGCTCGTGTCCTGCCTGTACTGGGGCAACTGCAGGGACGGAGGATCCAGCACGCACGATGCCATGGCCGGCTTCGTAGTCGACGTCGACAAGGAGAAGGTGCACTCAACGGCATCGTGGTACTCCGCCCTATTTGCCAAGAGCATGGGGGCGGGGCAGAGCGGTCAGGCCGGCCAGGGAAAGGGGCACGGCGAGGTCGGCATCGGCAGCCATTTCCCGGGCATCAGGGAGCTGTGCGAGCAGGCCATCAAGGGTCACGAGTCTGCGTTGCAGGAGGCACCATGGTTGCACGCGGTGGGCTGGGATGCGATGTTCAGCAGCTCAGGGCCCGTCTTCTTCGAGGGCAATTATGCCTCGCATAGGATCCCCCGTCGCGTCTTCCTGACGTGGAGGAGTACCATGTGGTTCTTGAGCCACAGCAAGCGCTTCAGCTTGCTCCAATCACGTCGCAGGAAGCACATCACCGTGTAGATGGCTTGGGGTGAATGTCGTCGAGGCGAACAACTCCGGTCGTAACGACTGAAGGTTGACGCCATCAATTGGAGCGTTGAATTTGCAGAGGTGCATAGCGTGTGAATGTACGTGATTGGGCTTTGTGCAGCCT